CTGTGGGGCCCAGAACTGGACACAATATTCCAGATGCGGCCTCACCAGAGCAGAGTAGAGGGGGAGGAGAACCTCTCTCGACCTACTAACCCTACTAAACTATCTTTATCTCAACCCCCAAGTTTTTGCACTTTTACCCTTCCAATTCTCTCCTCCATCCCACTGGGGGGGGGAGCGAGTGAGCGGCTGCATGTGGCTTAGCCCCCACCTGTAAAGACCTTTGCTCTTGGTCTCTACAATGGTCCCTTTGAGACTGCAGCTGTCTTGGGGAGAAGCAGAACACCCCGTACCATGCATCAGTGGTAGCCCTGGGACAGCTAGGGCATGATGATTCTTCCCCCCAGAAATAACGTACGTATTAATCCATCCAACCTAGACAGAAATGTGTGGGCACATATGGTTATCCTAGAGGGAAAGCCTTTTGCATGCCACAACTTTCATATTTATATGGACTAATGATCAAATTAAGACTGCTGACATATTTCAAGGCATGGAAGCTGTAGCAAGTTACAGAAACAAAAAGCTTCACATTTTTAATCAACCATAGTAGGTATGAGGTGCTGAGAGGCACATTTATTCTTCTGCTTGCAAGGGAGCTTTAAGTCTCAATAGCAACTAACAGAAGACTCCAAAACAGTTACTTGAGGACAGAGCTGCCTGAAAAACAAATTGACTTTTTTCTTCCATCGAGGTATCTAAGTCTGTGATACAGATTCACAAGTTATTAGTTCTGCAAGTCTGTACCGTGCATCAGTTCTAATCAGGACCCGAAGTCTGGCACCATCAGTGCATTAATGCATTGACAAATGATGGCAGTAAAAGAAACTTACTGTCAGGAACCCCCCAAATTATATTCAAACACAGACTGAAATCTCTTTATTAGAATTACAGAAATAGTCAGGAATCTTATCCTTCTGAGACACTGAAATGGGAGATCAGATATAGCGACTATTCTCTAAGCCTCATCTTCCCTGGAGTTCCACATCCCTGAGCTTTTTTGTCAGCTGCTTTCAACAGCAACCAGCAAAAAATTATCATCTGCAACACAAATGTTGTTCCTACAATAGCATTTTTTTCTTTCTCCTTTTTTTTTAAAAAAAAAAAAAAAGCACAGAATAAAACATAGTACTGTGTCATTCTGCTTAGAAAGGAGGGAGAGTCTAACCCAAGTGTGAGAGCAGATCCAAACTTCACCTAACTCCTGGTATTCAATCGTTGTATTCTCAGTGCATAAATCTTTGCTCAGAATGACTTTTAAAAATTCTTTTCAATCCAGAATTATGAACAACAATGGTTAAACTGAATTCCTGGGACAGCTGGGGCTGTTTGGGAAGTACATTTCCAGAGAAATTAGACTAGTAACGACTAATAACACAGGAGAGTCCTGGTAGCCCTCACTTTGCTGATCTAAGTGCTCTGCAATATGGGACCTCAGAGAGAGGCTGGCCTTCAGTCTGGGTCACCTCCTCCCCTCCTCCAGCTTTTCCCATGTATTTATTAAAGTTGACTTGCAAAACAGAAACAAAGAAAAAACAGGCTGGACTCACACATTTTTGTTCTACTTAAGCATTGTTATGGATGGAAGACACTGGGAGAAATCTAAAAGCTTTGAGTTTTCTTGCTTACTTTTTATATTAGAACTATTTTTAGCATGGTCTTTTATAATAAGACTTCAGTTCTGGAATAGCCTCAAATACTGAGAATTTATTCACACTTACAGCTTTTGCTGCTTAAAACCACTTTCACTTTAAGTCTGTGGAGCTAAACATGTCCAGGAGGCTGAGAAAACACTAGTTTAAAATACTGAAACAGGCTGCTCAAGATACTGCCAATTCCCTTTATGAGCAAACTGAAGGAAAAAACAAGCTTGTAAGTACACTGTGATTTCATTCAAGCTAAAAGAATGACAATTATGCTGATCAGGCAACACCTAACGTATGTAAGTGTGAGCAGCTGATGTGCACTGGTGGTTTACATCAACCAAAGAGCTAGAAGAACTACCCAAAACTCCTCTTATAGAAATAAAACTCATGATTTCTCATGACTGAAGAAGTAATGAAGCTCATACGAGTGAAACTGCAGCATTAAGAGTGGAAGTAAGGTAATCACTCACCTCCTTTATTATAATTAAAGATTTCTGTCCTAAATATCCCTCATCATCTCTGAGACCAGACAGCGATGTTTATATGATGCCCTAGCCTACCTCTACAGGGAACCCCATTTGTCACTCAAAGCTGCTAATTTATATAAGC